AAATCCCTATTCTATTTTAGTATTCATCTACTAGTAACTAACATAATGATAAAAATAAAAATAATTTTTTTTTTTTTTATTGTAGAAGATGAAGATTAATTCCTCATTTTTTCCTATTATAACTCTAAAAAAGGTCTACAACAAATTTAAAATGTTAAAAAGAAAATATTTTTCCTCAAAAGCAAAATTTCTAAAGTATCCCATTAATATGAAATTTGTGAATACCAGTCGTAATAAAAAAATATGTTATAGTCTTAAAAATATTTAAGTCTGAGGTTTTTAGTTTTCTTAACAAATAAATACATTATATAAAAAAAAATCCGTTATAACAACACGTTTTTCTAAGTTAGTAATTGTAGAAAAGTTAAATTTGGCAGGTACAAATTATAATTTAGTAGGAATATTCCAATCACGAAAAATAATTTTCAAATATACTGCTAGCTTCGAAATTGCTTAGCGTTTTCAATAATATTATCGAACACCAGGTGTTTTGCTTTCTTATTGAATGCATAATCAACATGACCAAAATGGCGATCCTTTATATTGAAAGTTTGATGTACATTTGGTAATAAAACAGCCAGTTTATCTATTGTCTAAAAAAATAAAATGAAAATCTGATTAAGATAAAACAAGTATTCAATTATAATTTTGCCAATAACAAAATTTTCATTATTGAATAGTTTTTCTTATAGCAAGTGAAACGTATGTAGATTACAAAAAATACTTGTCCAAATCAAACCTTCTAGATAACATTGCGCAAAAATTTTCCAAGCAGTAAAAAATAATTATATCTTCAATTAAGAAAAATGTTTAACCATTCATTTTCATAGAAGTAATCACTAAATAATTTATGATTATTTGAATTCGTAATTAAATTGACATTAAACCTTTCTCTTATCTTAATCGCGTTTAACTTGTAATATTTAAAAAAAAACAAATAAAACAACTTTTATGATCCAAAGTTGTCTTCATTCAGAAATAGGTATCATACCGTAATTTTAAAGTATAAATATTAGATATTAAATTGTTTAATTTTGTTTCTTACTCGTTTATCAACAATTCTATCATTGTAACTATGAAATAAAACACTGGGCGACGTTACTTTTCTTAAATCGTACTCTGGTGGTCTGTATTGTCCGTATGTTTTCCAATTTCTAAAGAATCCTAAATCATAATGTTGCATTTTTTCTAAAAAAAATATTAACAATGTAGTTAACTTTTTTAACAAATGTATTAATATTTTTTGTTGGAAGTTCAATCTCCGTTGAAAAAATAATGTAGTTGAATATTAGGTCCCAGAGCGCCTTTCAATACTTCACAAAAACGTTAAATTAATTAACTATATTTATAAATGACGGGTCGAGTGTTTTACTTGACACTCAAATAATAAAATTAAAACACAATTGATTAGATTTTTACTAATAACAATTCTTTTGCACATATACAAATTAAATAATTACACATAGTAAGAAGATTAACACAAAGAAAAGAATAACCTCACCCATCGCGCACTAACTGACCGGAAATAGGAGAAACAATATCGATGTGTGAACGGTTAGAATACC